TCATATACTCCATGTCTCTCAAAACGCTTTTGGAGCCCCGACTCTAAGCTGTAAAGCATGCCGCACTGAACGAGGGAGTAGTCATCAGCACGTGTCTGCCAAGCGTTCATAACGTCTTGGTTCTGTGGGACGGGTGGGTCACCTAGCGGTGCTAGTAGGACATAATCTTTCTTGGCAGCTATGAGGATGATCCTCAGGTTCCGGACCCAGTCCGTATAGTTGCTGCCATCGTCTTTCAGCTTGGTTTTCTCTAGGAACGCGTTGAAGTTGAGGACAACGTTGGCCATTTGATCTACAAGACATATTGCAAATATTTTAGACTAAGTTCATGATAATTAAGTTCATCTAATCAAATTATTCAATGAACTCCCACTTAGATAGACATCCCTCTTCTAGTCATCTAAGTATAACATGATCCGAGTCAACTAGGCCGTGTCCGATCATCACGTGAGACGGACTAATCAACGTCGGTGAACATCTTCATGTTGATCGTCTCTTCTATACGACTCATGCTCGACCTTTCGGTCTTCTGTGTTTCGAGGCCATGTCTGTACATGCTAGGCTCGTCAAGTCAACCTAAGTGTTTGCATGTGTAAATCTGTCTTACACCCGTTGTATGTGAACGTTAGAATCTATCACACCCGATCATCACGTGGTGCTTCGAAACAACGAACTGTCGCAATGGTGCACAGTTAGGGGGAACACTTTCTTGAAATTATTATGAGGGATCATCTTATTTACTACCGTCGTTCTAAGTAAACAAGATGTAAAACATGATAAACATCACATGCAATCAAATAATAATAGTGACATGATATGGCCAATATCACATAGCTCCTTTGATCTCCATCTTGGGGCTCCATGATCATCTTGTCACCGGCTTGACACCATGATCTCCATCATCATGATCTCCATCATCGTGTCTCCATGAAGTTGCTCGCCAACTATTACTTCTACTACTATGGCTAACGCGTTTAGCAATAAAGTAAAGTAATTTACATGGTGTTTCTCAATGACACGCAAGTCATATAAAAAATAAAGACAACTCCTATGGCTCCTGCCGGTTGTCATACTCATCGACATGCAAGTCGTGATTCCTATTACAATAGCATGAACATCTCATACATCACATATATATATCATTCATCATTCATCACAACTTTGGCCATATCATATCACAAAGCACTTGCTGCAAAAACAAGTTAGACGTCCTCTAATTGTTGTTGCAAGTTTTACGTGGCTGAAATATGGTTCTAGCAAGAACGTTTTCTTACCTACATGAAAGCCACAACGTGATTTGTCAACTTCTATTTACCCTTCATAAGGACCCTTTTCATCGAATCCGCTCCAACTAAAGTGGGAGAGACAGACACCCGCCAGCCACCTTATGCAACTAGTGCATGTTAGTCGGTGGAACTGGTCTCACGTAAGCGTACGTGTAAGGTTGGTTCGGGCCGCTTTATCCCACAATACCGCTGAAGCAAGATAAGACTAGTAGCGGCAAGAAAGTTGACAACATCTACGCCCACAACAAATTGTGTTCTACTCGCGCAAGAAGAACTACGCATAGACCTAGCTCATGATGCCACTGTTGGGGAACGTTGCAGAAAACAAAAATTTTCCTACGGTTTCACCAAGATTCATCTATGAGTTCATCTAGCAACGAGTGATCGGATGCATCTACATACCTTTGTAGATCGCGAGCGGAAGCGTTCAAAGAACGGGGATGAGGTAGTCGTACACGACGTGATCCAAATCACCGGAGATCCTAGCGCCGAACGGACGGCACCTCCGCGTTCAACACACGTACGGTCAGCGTGACGTCTCCTCCTTCTTGATCCAGCAAGGGGGAAGGAGAGGTTGATGATGATCCAGCAGCACGACGGCGTGGTGGTGGATGTAGGGCGTCACAACAGCAGGGCTTCGCCGTATACTACGAGAGGAAGAGGTGTAGCAGGGGAGAGGGAGGCGCCAAGACTCAAGGTGCGGCTGCCCCCTCCCTCCCCCTCATATATATAGGCTCCCCTAGGGGGGGCGCCAGCCCTAGGAGATGAGATCTCCTAGGGGGGGGGCGGCCAGGGCTGGAGTGGCCCCCAAGGCAAGGTGGGGCGCCCCCCCACCCCTAGGGTTTCAACCCTAGGCGCATGGGGTGGGCCTAGGGGGGCGCACCAGCCCACTATGGGCTGGTTCCCCTCCCCACTTTGGCCCATGGGGCCCTCCGGGATGGGTGGCCCCACCCGGTGGACCCCCGGGACCCTTCCGGTGGTCCCGGTACAATACCGGTGACCCCAAAACTTGCCCCGATGGCCGAAATAGCACTTCCTATATATAGTTCTTTACCTCCGGACTATTTCGAAACTCCTCGTGACGTCCGGGATCTCATCCGGGACTCCGAACAACATTTGGGTTACTGCATATACATATCTTCACAACCCTAGCGTCACCGAACCTTAAGTGTGTAGACCCTACGGGTTCAGGAGACATGTAGACATGACCGAGACGACTCTCCGGTCAATAACCAACAGCGGGATCTGGATACCCATGTTGGCTCCCACATGCTCCTCGATGATCTCATCAGATGAACCACGATGTCGAGGATTCAAGCAACCCCGTTTACAATTCCCTTTGTCAATCGGTATGTTACTTGCCCGAGATTCAATCGTCGGTATCCCAATACCTTGTTCAATCTCGTTATCGGCAAGTCACTTTACTCATACCGTAATGCATGATCCCGTGACCAGACACTTGGTCACTTTGAGCTCATAATGATGATGCATTACCGAGTGGGCCCAGTGATACCTCTCCATCATACGGAGTGACAAATCCCAGTCTTGATCCGTGTCAACCCTACAGACACTTTCGGAGATACCCGTAGTATACCTTTATGGTCACCCAGTTACGTTGTGACGTTTGGTACACCCAAAGCACTCCTACGGTATCCGGGAGTTACACGATCTCATGGTCTAAGGAAAGGATACTTGACATTGGAAAAACTCTAGCAAACGAACTATACGATCTTTATGCTATGTTTAGGATTGGGTCTTGTCCATCACATCATTCTCCTAATGATGTGATCTCGTTATCAATGACATCCAATGTCCATAGTCAGGAAATCATGACTATCTGTTGATCAACGAGCTAGTCAACTAGAGGCTTACTAGGGACATGTTGGTGTCTATTATTCACACATGTATTACGATTTCCGGATAACACAATTATAGCATGAATAAAGACAATTATCATGAACAAGGAAATATAATAATAATGCTTTTATTATTGCCTCTAGGGCATATTTCCAACAGGCCTCCCTGCATGGGTGCCCCTGGCTGCATGGGGCCCTGAGGTGGCCCCATGGCCCCTCCCGACTCTTTCTGAAACCTTCATCTACCGAAACAATGTTGTAAATCCCCAAGTTACTTTGAGCTTCATAGATATTGTTTTTTAAAGAGTCAAAAACATGCAGAAAACATCAACTTCCTATGGGCAATTATCAGGTTAGTCCAAAATAATAATAACTGATATAAAAAAAAATTCAAAAATGATATTGCAATATCATAAAACAACAATAAGCTCCGGCTTTGGCCAAAGACTTATCTATAAGTTATATAATGATTGCATCGGACCGCAAATAAGTGATTCAAGATATTAAATCTAGATCCGAGGGAAAACATGCAAGCATAACGAGACAAATCATCATCACTGCAAAGGGAGTTTCAGTCATGTTCCTTCATCTTCAAAGGACGAGAGTCCAATATCAAGGCACATAGCCTTGCTTAGTTCACTCTAGACCTTACTATTCGTAGACATATGTGGCTCAATCAGCCTCCAATATTGTATGAACTCTGTGATCAATAAAGTGGAGCGAGTTTGTAGCCTTAGAAAAGATGAACCCCATTACAGGTAACAGGGTCCATTTTACATGGTGAGCAAAGAATAGGAATTACCCTATGTGTGGCCCATTATATTATAGTATGAAGTAGTAGTAATCAGGCGAAATCACTAATTAAGAAGAACTCTTTACAAAGATGATTCCCACCTCCCATGTCACGACAAGTGGCGCATTGCATATGCGTCACTTGTCGCAAACCGGGAGTTCTTCATTTTTTCATTGATTCGTTTATTCAAAATGTTTTATCTCTTAAACTATGCGTTCAAATCTTGAACCGTTTTCAGCGTTGGATTCTTCGCGTCGAGATTTTAAAAACTAAATCACATGTCAATAGATTTAGACAAACTTTTTTTTCACATCTAAAAAGCTGATAGACGCGTGCGGAAAAATAAAAGCCAAGTGACGCTCTCTCAGCCCATACCAAGTTGGAGGCTCCCGAAGTAGTAACTCAAAGCTGTTCTCCAAAAAAAAAAAACCATAGCTGACTAGCAGTAAATGAGCTAGAAAAACGGGAGGGCCCAACAACAACTATTCCGGAGGCCCGGAGTTTGGTCAGCACCCGCGACGAATTCCACAAGGAGAACGCGAGAGATAGATCCGCCGTGAAGGCCCAACGGCGGCTCACCGAAACCCGGGGCCGCCGCCGGCCAGCCAAACCCCACCCGGCGCACCACTCGCAGTCCCAGGCAGAGATGGTGGCGATCTCGATGTACCGGGGCAACCTCCACCGGGGCGGGGACGACGCCGCGCGCCGCTGGCCGGTGCCCCAGCCCACGCTCTCCGCGTCCCAGTTCCGCCGCCTCCTCCACCGCCGCTCCCTCGCCGTCTCCCGCCTCGCCGGGGCCCCCCGGCCCAACTCCCCCAACCCCCGCCCGGACGACGGCGCCGCGGGGCCCGTGGCCGTGGGGGAGGCGCGGGAGGTGGGCGGGGGTCAGCAGCAGCAGCATCAGGCCGAGCGGCAGGAGGAGGAGGGGCATGATGCGCCGATGCAGCAGCAGGGGAGGAAGAGGGACAGGGTGTGCAGCAGCCACAGGGGGAGGAAGAGGGGCAGGACGAGCAGCAGCAAGGAGAGGAGGAGGAGCAGGAGGAGGGGGCGGTGGAGGATGTGGAAATGGACGATGCGGGGGAGGTGGTCGCCGGAGACGTCGATGCCGGCGGCAATGGTGACCCCGAAGAAGGGCAAGGCGAAAGCGAAGGCTTCGACCCCAACTCGGACGTGAGGCTCGTGAAAACTCATGGCTCCTCATAGCTTCCTGTTGATCTATGTGGGATTTTAGCTGCCATCCTGCTAACAATGGCCTTCATTTGGGGACCCATGTAGATTTTTTGAGATTAGATTCATGTCATTGGTGGATGGCTACTTGTGAAGCCCCGACAGTAGATTTTTGGAATTGCTACTCGTCATGGTATTGTGGTGGTTCTTTTCTATCTTTGAATCTAGACTTTTAGCACATTGTTGGAAGTAGGATGAAATTCCTAGGTTGTCTTCCGTTTCTGGGTTGGAATAAGCCAATAAGTAATGATGCTTTTGAGTTTTATATATCCTACTCAACAATTAAGCTTCTTAGCTACAACAGCTAGCTCTTTCCTGAGAATACAATATATTATTGGTTGCTGCTGAACAACAGTTTAATTCCTGAGTTTTCACGGAGATTTTGTTGAGTGCTTTGTGATTCCTGAGTAGAATTAATTAACCACACCACACATACTGTTCTTGTTTGCAAGCTAACTACCTATGCTTGGAAACTTCGTGCATTGTGCTTGCGAGCACCAAATATGTGCTTGTTCTCTTTTTCATCTAGACCTCTGAGTCCTATTTCTGTTTTAGGTGGGTCAACCTGATGGAGTTGAAGAAAGGAAGAGAGAGTTGACTGACAAGCTGGATACCTTGAGTAAGAAAAAGCATGATCTTGTGCAGATGCTGAAGCAGGTAATTTTCTCATTGTTTTGGCTGCCGCTTATGGTTCAGAACAAGTTGCTATGTTCTTCATCCCCTGTTACGTTTCTGTCTGCATAAGTAACTGAACCTTGAATACCATCTGACCTTCGGTGGTCGACAACTTCAGGTGATAATATGTGTGGCTTTGACTGTTTTCACCATTAATCGAGTAGCCACTTGAAATACACTGGTTCGAATGAGTTTTTCTTTTATTTGAAATATATGAACCGAAAAATTGTAAACTTGCTATCCCATCTGAATGTGGAACTGATTAAATAAATGATAAACCCATAGTTTAAATTTGCACTGGTTTCTAATGAAGTACTTCAACAAATTTGAATTGTACAAAGTTCGCCACCATGGACAGGAAGGAGCGTTCTGCAAAGTAATTGGAGTTGCTTATATATGTGAACTGACATAAGAAACGGGTGGAATTTGTAATAGGCTTTCAAATTCTCCAGCTTATAATATTTTGTACTTGTTACTCTATCAAACATGTCTCTTCATCAAATATATTTTAAAAATATTAATCATGTTGCCACATATGCAATGTAACCTTGTTGTCTGTATACAGAGTTGCACAGTAAGTACAAACTTTTTGGTGGTCACATGCTCTATTTTCTTCGAATAATTATCCGGGGGGTGGTCACTAGCCAGTAGCCAGTGTACTAAGTAGGATTAATTTTGGCCGCTTGACAGATTTTAAATGCCGAAGAGGAAATCAGAACACGTAGCATGCAGGCTTCACTGCGTGCTGCCATGCCTCAGCCGCCAGAAAACACAGCTGATGGAAGTGTTCCTAGACAGGTGCCCAGAATGACCGTTGATGTCAATTTCAGCGAGTTTGCTGGGGAGTCAGATGCTGGTTCCAACCAGGGCACTCCTGGGCTCCCCTTGCATCATGTTCACAGTATTTCCCCTTCAACAGCCTCTTTTGCTAGGTCTCCATTCGGTTCTCGCAACCACAACCCTGTAAGTTTTCGCAATGGCCATGTTTCGAGCTCAAATCTATATTTTCCTGTTGGATGCTTTAATGAATCAACGTACGGTACTAGCAAAAATGAGTCTACATTAGTGAATTCGTAAATTCATTTCAGCAATAGATCATGATTTTCTTAAAGTTCTCAGGCTTCAGAATGTTGTTACATGTTTTGGATTTCCCTTTTGTATTCATCATTTTGGTGGAATTAAGCGTTTCTAGAATATGAATGATCGCTGTGATCGAACCGTGTGCTTGTCCATTTTGAGCTAAAACCACCTGTTATCTCACAGGGCAACACTCCAAGAAGTCCAGCACCTTTCTCTACAGCAAGCCCATCTCGCTTCGCAGGTACTGGGCATCAAGGACACCACCCCTCAGCATCACTACCAGCAGGCAACTTTGTAGCATCGTCGCCTTCCCCTGCTGCATCCGGTGGCTCTTCCTCTGTATTCAGGGACTATCGCCCGCCCAGTTCAACATAATTCCACAAAACCCGAACGGAGGCTACAATGTACATGAGTCGCCATGAATAGTTGAATGCTCTTTGCACTCCTCCTTGCATTGTTACTTTATTGGCAATATTATCAGATTGCAAAGGGCAATTCAGGGACACTAAGGTCATGTTGAAGCATCATTTTGTATCTCGGTGCTAGCGCTGCTAAAAGGGAGTCATGTTCTTCTCCGTGAGCTGAGGTCGAAATCTAATATCACTTTAATTAAACTAGAATACTTGGTACCTAAGTTGACGAATTCAGCTTCACTGATGGCTTGTTCATGGCAGAAAGGTTGAGCTGAAAATGGAAGACTGAAAGTATATACCATGTAGTTCTGTTTTTAGTTTCCGAGCACAAAATGTATTCCTGCTGAGAATCTCAGGACTTAGTTCTTGAGTTTTATACAGACAGGTTCACTTGTTGCGCAGCAGAATGGTTGCTGCTATTGACACACAAGGAGGGAACTTCTGCGGAGACTTTTTAAAGTTGCAACAAAATGATGTTACATGCCACTACAGAAGTGCTATTGTATTGATGCACATCATCAGTTTGGACAAAAATAACCAATAGAAATCTTTCTTAAAGATCGTGCGTCTCTCGAACAAATGTAGAGCTCAGACAGCAGCGTCGAGTACCGGTAGACATACACCGTGTGTAACAATCAACAAATGGGAGTGTAGTGCTTCAATTCCTTTATGATGCGGAAGGCTGTAAGCTACAGAAAGTAGGTAGCGTAAATTAGTCCAAGCAGCCAGAAATTAACTGATCATTAAAAGGTACACTCAATGAGAAGAACAACAATGTAAAAATCTTCTGTAATTGTAAAGCATTGACATAAGGGTGTAAAAAACCAACAATCAGCAGCTCTCCTGGGTCATTGCCAGATTCTTAGTTTGTTCCAGAGGTATTTTCCAAATTTGTCGGCACGACCTTGGGCTATTATCGGCAAGGTTTTGGATAATAAATTATATCCAGACTCGTTATTTGTCGAGAAGAGGAAATGACCAGTTTTATGCTTATTATTTTGAGGTGACAGTATAAGAAGGCATGCTACCTAAACTGAACATGCAAGGCCCTATATTAGGAGTATCAGATCAAGAATGCATAATGAGGAGACTTCCAAGAGGAAACGGAGTCCAGCAAATCTGCAAGGTTCTCTGTAGTTTGAAACAGCTAAAACAAAACAAATGCCTCTGAATATTTTTTTTGCTCAATTTAAAAATGTTTTTTCAGTCATAGCAATAGATCCATAGCCACATGCATACCCCCAGACTACGTGTGCCTCACAGAACACAGTCCACGGAAATCAAAATGCATGAACACGGATGATTGGAACATCTACATGGTTGTACTAAAGGGTGCGGGAAAAGAGAGTAAATGTCTGCATTTACCTCGTGTGATGCTGCCACAAAATTAGACCTTCTGCATCCCCTAAAATTGGGCAAACAAGTCCTGCAAGGTTCATGACAATATTTAGAAACAGGAAGTTAATGCAGTAGACAGCTACAACATTGAAACTCTGGTACCGCGATAAAGACATATTTCTGATTACTTCTTTGATGTACAAGTACAACCAACCGCATTATCTACAGGCCATGTGCAACATTTTTGAAATAAAATTAGTGCACACAAGTCAAATTCAGGAAATGATGTGACAAGAAGTGTAGCTATTTTCACGCCACTTGGATAATGATATGTCTGGTCAAAGAGAAGTGCACACACTGACCAACCCCGAATTTAAATTTGACAGAGGGTAAGTAAAGAACAAAGTAATCATATATGATTAGTATTATATGGCGGCAATTTCTTAATAGCATCACAAAGATCGTCTAGTTGGAAACGTTTCAATGCCATGTATCCCTGGGCCCTACAAACCATCCTCATATTCAACTGTTTTTCCCCAAGTTATACACACCTTTGAGATGGTACAAAGCTAATTCTCTACCAGTAATATTAACCAGTAACGCCACTGAGGATACACAGTTCAAGAATGGCACAATGCCACAAACAAATGACTGGCGTGAATGCCAACCTGCTTATTGCACTTCATTGGCATCTCTAGCAGCAATCAACCTAGCTTACTGGTTCTGTGTTACCGTATGTGTTTTCCTTTTCAAGCAAATGTGTAACACACCTCCAGATATAGGATATTCAGTTTATGACCACTCCAAAAAAGTTGCACAGGATGCAAGCACATATGCTAATCTGCAATTAAATATGTACCATCTTTCGTTTTCCATGTAAAACTTGAACACATGAGGCAACTATCAGCTTGTTTCCTGAACAACAATACACAATGCCTCAGAAATGTACAGTTAGTCAAAGCCAACTACGACTAGAGTGAACCTCTAGAATTTAACTTTGGCCGGAGGGTAAATAGCAAAATAATCATCTAGTATATGGTTGCTATTACGGTGGCATTTCTCAATACCATCGCAAATATCGTCTAGTTGGAGACATTTCACTCCCATGTATCCCTGGCCCTACAAGCTATCCTCGTATTTGAATGGCGCTTTTCAGTCTATACCAATCTTTGAGATGGTAGACAAAGCTAATTATCAATCAGTAGTATTAGCCATCAACACCATTGAGGATACACAGTTCAAGAATGGCACAACGCCACAAACAGAAGACTAACATGAATGTCAACTTGCTTATTGCACTCCATTGATATCTCTATCAGTAAATGTGTAACACATCTCAATATAGAATATATCCTGTTTATGACCACTCTACAAAAGTTGCACAGGATGCAATCACATATGCCAACCTGCAATTAATTATGTCCCTATCTTTCGTTTTCCATTTAAAATCCTATCAGCCTGTTTCCCAATCAGCAATATGCAGTACCTCAGAAATGTACAGTTAGTCCAAGCCAACTACCACTGGAATAAGCCTGACACAAGTCGTCCACAAAACTAAGAGTAATATTAACCAAGCATCCCTGGGCCCTACAACCTATCTCATATTCAAGTGGTGTTTTCCAGTCTACACATCATTGAGATGGTACCAAGCCAATTTTCTATTAGTAATATTAACCAGTAACACCATTGAAGATACACAGTTCAAAAATGGCTCTGACACGAATGTCAACCTGCTTATTGCACTTCATTGACATCTCTACCAGCAATCAACCTTGCTTACTGGTTCTGTATTACCGTATGTTTTCTCCTTTTCAAGTAAATTTGTAACACGTCTCTCAATATAGGATATCTAGTTTATGACCACTCTAGAGAAGTTGCACAGGATGCAAACACATATGCTAATCTGCAATCAAATATGTCCCATCTTTCGTTTTCCATGTAAAACTTGAACACATGAGGCAACTATCAGCCTGTTTCCCGAACAGCAATACACAGTGCCTCAGAAATGTACAGTTAGTCAAAGCCAACTACCACTGGAGTGAGCCTCCAGAAAGAACACAAGTCCTCCACAAAGCCAAAGAGTGCTACGGTGAACTGATAGGTCAATTTATGCAAACACACATGCTAATCTGCAATTAATTATGTTATCAGTCAGCTTGTTTCCCAATCAGCATTACACAGTACCTCAGAAATATACAGTTACTCCGAACCAACACGAGAGTAAGCCTCTAGAAATGTACAGTTACTCAGAACCAACTGTCACTCTAGAAAACTTGCACAGGATGAGGATGCAACAACACATGCTAATCTGCAATTAATTATGTCCCATCTATCGTTTTCCATGTAAAATCTGAACAGAGGAGGCGACTATCAGCTCGTTCCTCCTTCAGCGTTACGCAGTACCTAAGAAATGTACATCTAGTCAAAGCCAACTACCACTGGAGTAAGCCTCTGGAAAGATCACAAGTCGCCCACAAAACTAAGAGTGCTACTAAGATGAATCGATGGCTCAATTTATGATCTAATAATCGGGACTAAAATTACCAACTAAGAGTGCTAGTATCCATCCAGTAAACCAAAATTCAGCAACCCGTGGAATTCAATCAAACAGCTCAACGGAGCAGAGGGGCGGAGTGCATCGGACCTGGAACCAAGCGGCGGCGGCGGCGAGCGCGGAGGAGAGGCGGCACCGCCTCCTCCGCTTGCCGGCCTCGCAGGCGTGGACGGACTGGAAGTCGGCGGCGGGCAGCTTGCGGGTGATCCAGCCGATGTCGAGGTAGACGAAGCGCGGGGGCGGGGGCAGGTCGACCTTGACGCGGACGACGCTGAACCAGACGAGGAAGCGGCGGACCTGCACGCCCTCCAGCTGGGTGAGGGAGCCGTAGCGGAGCACGCCCGTGACGCGGGGCTCGAAGTAGGTGAGGTACTCGAAGTGGACGTAGCAGGGGCCCGCGAGGTCGACGGCGAGGCTGCCGTTGCCGGCGAGCGAGAAGGCGGTGACGTTGGCCGGGAAGACGCCCGGGGGAAGGCC